GGAAATCAGGAAAACAAAAACAGGAAGATAGAAAAGTTAAGACCTGTATTAACTGCACTTAAGACACAAGTATCTATACATTAACAAGACATCACATTTAACAATTTCTTTAAGAGCAGAGAAGTGAAAATAGAGGAAGAGAGAGACAGATGCGAGGGTGAGGAGGTCACTCGTCCACTCCCCCACGCTCATCTCTTACTCTCCATCTGCTCTGAGGCCCTTTCCTCAAAGCTCTGACCTTCCTAATGTTAAACACAACAAACATCTCACCGCCCACCAGGCCCTCTTTCCTCCATCACCGTCCACATCTATGTTTCACCGTATATCAGCAACAAACACAGCGAGCCTACACATACTGAGAGTTAGAGTATACCAGTCAAAGACCTTCATCAGCATGCAGCATGAACGCTACTCTTCAGCATTGTAAAAGCGCTGCTGCTTAACAGTTCCTCCTTTTTCCTTTACAAAAAAGGTTCACAGCCTTAAGCTCCATTCAGTGTCTACAAAAAGAATTTGTTTCTTACAAACAAGAACTGACCCATTGCATAAGCTGCTGCTGTTACTGTGCCTCGGGCTGCTCGTGTGACCCTGTTTCTCTCCGCTCGCTCTCCAATGAGACTTTTTTTTTGGGAGGATTTCATTCAACTCCCTCTCGCTTTCTGATCTTGACTCAAATCTGATTGAAGCCTGCTGATCTGTGGGTTATAACGCCGATTGTGTTTTTTCTAGGTTTGAGGAGGTTTTTAGCTGCTCTCAGGAATAATCTGCAAGTACTTTAGGAAGACATTGGGGCCTGACATACGCACACAAACTTTACTTTAATGTTCATTTCCCCCTCACGTAAAAGTATTTTTAAGAAAGACTGTGGTGTGAGAATGTGTGCAGCCCACTGCCAGGCGTCACTATAAAAAGGCTGGAAGATTGAAAAAATTACAAGTTGAGGGAGGATTGATATAATAATAAAACACTTTGGCTTGTTAAGGCAATTGTTGTTTCACAGTTTGAATTTATGCAGTCTACCAAGCATCTGTGCTCATAAAAGGCTAATTTAATGTACAGTACAATACAAAACTCCTTCTTGACTGAGGATGATTGGATGATGATGTCGGCACAAT